GGGGGGGGGGGGGTGGTGAGAATGGGGAAAGGAAGGGAGGCCATTCAAACCCTGTCACCAGTTAAATGGCTCTGAATTAATGCAAAGTCTCTGGTTCACTGGAAGAGTTAGTGTTGCCTGCAGGTCCCAAATCTGCAACTTGTATAAATACTTGTAGGAATATTCTGTCCTAATAAATCATTTTCCAAGGCTTCTTAGAAGTCACAATAAATGTTGTTTCACCTGTCTTAAGAAAACACTTTATGTGAAATTAGCAGTATATAGAACTAGTTGGAGGGTGGAAAAAAATGTAGAACATTCTTGACATTGTGCCCCTTACACCCTTGAAGGGGTAACTATAAATAGGAAGTTATCAGAGCCCTTATTTCCTTCGGTGCACACAAAGCACTTTCCCTCTCCCTTCATTCCTAGCAGCTAGCATAAGCACCAGAGCAAGTTAGTAGGAGGAAGGAGAAAGGACAGTACATTGTAAAAAAGAAAATATATTATTATTCAGTCCACTAGGTAGTTAGTGGGTTAGGAATAGATTAATGTAGGCATCTAGCCTATTTGAATTGAACTCTCCTAAAATTTGCAGTGAGCATTATGCAGAAATCACTTTAGCCAAAGAAAAGGTGCGATGTGTTGAGGCTGCATTTATATAGGCTCATGTGCATGTATGTATACATATGTATGTAATTTTTTTCCCCTAGGGACTCAATAGATCTTGATAATCCACAGGAGAACATTAAGGCCACCCAGCTCCTGGAGGGCCTGGTGCAGGAGCTGCAGAAGAAGGCGGAGCACCAAGTGGGGGAAGATGGGTTCTTACTGAAGATCAAGCTGGGGCACTATGCCACGCAGCTCCAGGTGGGTGTGGGCTCCGGGCCACAGTTGTCTGCCCTAGAAGGGACTCTTTCTTCATTTAGCGCTTCCTCTAGAGATTTTCTTTCTCTTCTTCAGCCAAGCGTTGTTGAGTTACATGTATAAAGTTCTTGTTTATTTTCATGGATGTAGCTTTTTTTAAACTTTGTATTTGAAAATAATTTCAAATTTACAAAAAGTTGCAAGATTGACACAGAGACCCCCTACATATGCCCGGATTCACCCATCGTTAACATTTGCTTTATCATATGCTCTTGCACACACCCCCACTGGGGATCGAGCAGCCCGGGCACATGCCCTGACCGGAAAACGAACCATGACCTCGGTTCATAGGTCGACGCTCAACCACTGAGCCAAGCCGGCCAGCCTCTACACACATTTTTTTTTTTTTTGATCACTTGAGAATAAGTTGTACATATCATGTCCCTTTGTGCAAAGTACTTCAGTGTCCATTTTCTAAGAATATGAACCTTCTCTTACATAGATATAGTCCAGGTATCATCTTCAGTAAACTTCACATTGATAGAATACTATTAGATAACTTTATGTCTGTATTTCCATTTTGTCAAGTGACTTGATCTCCTTTAGGGCATTTTTCCTGCCTCCAGTTCAGAATCCAGTCCAAGATCACATATTGCACCTAGTTATCATGTCTCTTCAATTTTCTTTAATCTGCAACTCTTTTTCAACCTTTCTTTGTCTTTCGTTGCACTGACATGAGCTCCTCTACTTTTTAAAGATAAAGTGTATCTCATTTTGGGTTTGTGTGAAGTTTCCTCATGATTAGATTCAGGTTACACAACCCTGATCAGAATTCTAAATAAGTATTGTGCCCTTCAAATGGTATCACATCTAGAGACATACGATGTCCATCTCCCCCTCGTTGGTGGAGTAAGGTGGTGTCCAATTTCTCCTCTGATGTGACCTTTCAGAAATACATTTTTCCTGTGTCCAAGAATGATGTCCTAGTACTTTAGGCAAATTAAGATGCAAGAAACGAAATAATCTTACCTTCTTATTGTAGTTAGGTTTTTTACAATGTGCTTTTCTTGCCCCCCATTGGTATTGGAGGAGCAGTGCATCTCATGATTACACTATCCTGTCTCTAGGAGTCTCCTCCAAGGTGGGGTTAGGCCCATAGCGTGGAGTGGGACAAAGTGAGGTCTGCTCTTGGATTCTTTCAGAACACGTATGACCGCTGCCCCATGGAGCTGGTCCGCTGCATCCGGCACATTCTGTACAATGAACAGAGGCTGGTCCGAGAAGCCAACAATGTGAGTTTCCCATGGGTATGGGGAGAGGAGTTGGGAAATCCCATCTTGCCCACTTCTCTCTGATGTTTTATCATGGTGACTCAGGGCACCTCTCTTGGTGTCTCTCTAAACAGAACATTGTCTTAAGGGGCACAAAATAAACAGAAGGCTATTCTCTGATCTTAACTGATTTATAACCTTGATGAGATTACAACCACAAAACAATATGAACAGGTGTGAAATAATTTAACCACCAGTGAATTATTTTTGAGTAAAATCATGTTTATATTCAGGTGAAATTACTTAAGAAAGATCTCTGCTAGCCCTCTCTCAGCCAGCTGTTGAAGGAATGGATCCGACCAGGTCGCTTACATGTCCGGATCCGCAAAGCCCTTGTTGATGCCTCCCCGGGAACCTCACTTTGGGGTCTCCAGGATGCCGCCTGTGAGAGCTTCTCCTTATTCCCTCTTCCCTCATCACAAGAAGGCCTTGAATGAGAACACAGACAATATGTGTTCACCTAGCCTGTTCCCCACTCTGTCCCCAACACCTAGCACAGCCCATGGCATTGGGTCAGTGAAAGAATGTGGAATGAGGGGGTCATCGTCATTAGTAGGAAAACCCAGGTAACTCCTGGGACGTGTTGAGTTCTGGTCTCTCTGAAGGGAATTAGATGGATCGTGTTTGGGATACTCTGGTGGAGGCCAGAACTGTAGTAGAAATTTCTACTATGTCTTATGAAGACGCCACGGTCTGCCGGCTCACCTGTTTCTCTTCTTTTCCCACTCTACACCCATTCTCACAAATGACGTTTGCAATTCCTACGACTCAAAATTAAGCTTTTGGGATTTCAGCCCAGTTATAGGTGCTAGCATTGGCTTTTCCTTGGCATTAACAGCCTGCAGTTTTCCCCCACCCCCTGCCCAGCTCACCGCTGCCTGCGCTCTCCCCCTGATCTGTGTCCAGGGCACCTCTCCAACTGGGAGCCTTGCTGACATCGTGTCCCAGAAACACGTTCAGATCAACCAGACATTTGAGGAGCTGCGACTGGTCACGCAGGACACTGAGAATGAACTAAAGAAGCTGCAGCAGACTCAAGAGTATTTCATCATCCAGTATCAAGAGAGCCTGAGGATCCAGGGTGAGGCTGCTGCAGGGTGGGCGGTGTGTGCAGTGAGGACGGGAGTGAGGGCCAGAAAGAAACTCGGGTCGTGCGGGAAGAGAACCGGTGGCCTTTCTGGAGGAGCAGGGGATCGTTTGTATTGAAGACAGTGCTGGGACGATGACGCTTAGGACGGGGAGAAGACAAAGACTTGCCCTTGGAGAGCGTGGATCTCGCTCAGGCTTCCCACACCCAGCGAGCTCCTGGTCTGCTGGGGAAGACATTTCCTCTTGTGGGAAGGAGCTCCAGTCTAGGAAACAGTACCCAAACAATGGTTTTGTGTTTTATAAATGCTGCTTTACCCTCTAAGCAGAGCCAATTTAGGGCTAAGGGCTGTGTTGGTGGTGACACACTTTTAATGTTTTGTGCAGTTATTCAGAGGCCGTCCCGGGGCTGAGCGCTTGAATGCCCTTAGACAGAGGCTTCCCCTCCTGGTTTCAGTCCTGCCTGGTACTTTGGGTACAGAGAACTTCCGTCAGTCTCCAAGCTGTGGAGCCGCAACAGCACCCCCTGTTGTCCTTGTGGGAATCAGTCAAAGCAACTGAATAGTGTCCTCTCCCTGCTTGCATGCCCAGCTCTGTCTCAGAGAAGCCTTTGCTCCACCAACCAGCCATTCAAACAACA